CTCGCCGAACAGCCACAAAAGATCAGTTTTCTCGCTTGTGCTGGATGATCCTCCAACTAGTCAGGTGGCCAGATGTCACCGTTCAACATGCTCCACAAGGTTTAAACGTTTGATTTGAGCTGACCAGGTTTGTAGGTGTAAGGTTCAGCCCATATCTACAAAATCCGAAGCGCGCATTAGCAGTAGCAGACCCTTCGCGCTCGGGATCAGCATCCTCAATAGCTTGCGGCTCCTGGGGAACCACCGTGGGTTCCTTGCATGCTCCCCATCAGAGTAAGTGGGGATATCGGTGGGAAAACCATGAAAAACCACAGCGTAGTGGGGATTGATCCCCCTCAAAAGCTTCGCCGCGCGGCACCGCCCCCCTCCTCATGCCATGCACTGCGCCTATAATGTTCGAGAGCAAGCAAGCTATCACATGAGCGAAAACTGTACCTTCGATGTTTTCCTAAAGCTGAAACACTTCGATGTTTTTCCAAGGGGATACAGAGCGTTAGCATGCACGGTCGTGCCTCGTGCCTCAGCATGACTGCAACTCCGATCCTAATTCCTCAAGGATACTCTTTCGGTTAAGTCAATGCTAGATCTGCATCGACAAAGGCTCGGCTATCATTCAACGTGCGAAACATCAGAGTGTTCACCTCATGCATACACTGGGAGCGACCATGTTAAATAGCTTTGACAGGTTTCTTCCGAAACATGCCCAGTAACTGCTCCACGTAACCCCGAACAAGTTTGTCAATACTGCGATGCACTCACCATCGCAAGGCGGACCAAAGGAGTGGTTCAATTTCGGAACCCGGTGCGTTGCTTTGATCTTTTGCCAGTCAGACACTTGCGTCATCTCGCATGGACTCGAGCGACTGGGACGAAGGGGTGAGTGCCAATGTACTTCCTCGCTGCTGTGCTTCACCGAAGAGCATAAGTCTCACACGGCTCTGGAAGCTGCCCCTTGGAATTCTTGCAGCCAGCAAAGGGCCACATGAGTGCAAGGGCCTCGGCTAGCATGTTGCATTTTTGACTGCTGCAGCTCAAGCAATGACAAAGGGATTCGGCAGTCATCCAGGGCTCCAGCCAAGCCAGCCGCTGCAGCTCCACAGCTACGGACCTCCTGCATCTCCAGCCCCTTGTCTCCGTCTCCTTCCAAACTTGGCCGGAGCATCTTGGTCATCGGCCACGCTGTTGCACGCAACACAGGCGTCCTTGAGTCGGGGCCGAACGTTTTCTGATGATGCGGAGGTGAAGACCTCGTCCAGCAATGAGCGCGTCTGCAAGCTGGATAGCACGCTTTGACCAGAGTTGCCGCCTTCTGCTTGTACAGCTTGGATCAGCCTGGACCTGGCTCTAGCCATGGTCCGCACAGTGCCAAATTTTGTCGCCTCATGTACTTCCTTTACGACTGCGGATGTGGTCGGGGGTTTGAGGGCCGCGAGAGGCCACTTCTCGGACGCTCAAGGTACGCATAGACATAGACGCTGAAGGCAAGCGTTCTGAGACCAAGACTGCTTGGCTTCCCTCAGGTGGTGAATACCTCGAAAACGGACCAAGTTCGCAACGTAGGACATAGACAAAGCCACATGCACGTTTGGCTTCTTCTGAGCTTCGGACCAGGGAAAGACTCGTCGTCCCTGAAAGGCATCGGGCCTGTGCCGGCAGCAGGAGCTCTTCTGCAGCACAGCCTCCCATGGTGGCCTGGGCAAGCGATCTCGCCAGATGCACACAAAACTGATGAGTGCAACTTTAAGCTAAGAGCTCGGCATAGAAGACCTTCTCGCCCACAGACAAGCCACTGACCTCGCCATCCGACTGCGGTTAGATGTGCCGGGAAAAGCCGAAGGAGAGGCCTTGGATCCGGTCTCTGCCACAACGCCCGCACCTGCGCACGCAGCCGGCGCTGCCATGAGCAGAACCCTTCCAGAGCCCAACCCGCCTTCCGTGCACCTGCAGGCGCAGCGCGGCGCAGGGGTTCGGCTTAACCCGAAGAACCCTCAAAGAGACTCCAGGCGTCCCGCAGTACGAAAGGCAACTTGGGCTTGTATTGGTACCTGCGAAGATCGTAATACGGCGTCTTTCCTGCTCAAGCCGAGTGCACGCCTACAGTGCGCACTTGTTCTGCATCATAAGCAGCTCGGGAAAGTTTAGGGAAGCCGC